CAAGGTCCCTCTGCTCAGAAAATCCCATCTTAAGTTTGTCAGGGAACATCTAAGGATTCAAAGAAGGCTGGAGAAAAAGTGCTGTGGTCAGATGAGATCAAATTTGACCTCTAACTAGACTTGTTTGGATGAAGAAAAACACTGAGTAACACCTTACTGTCAAGCATGATGGTGGAAACATTATGCTTTGGGACAGTTTTCCTGCTAAAGATATTAAAGACAAGCAGATGACCATCTACTATGAAATCTTAGAGGAAAACCTTCTTCCCTCAGCCAGAGCAATGAAGATGTCCATCTTATCACAAGCAGAACTGGTTTGTTCCACTTTGGAGTAAGCTGTTGGAGGAAGAATCAGTTTTGTTGTGTGTTTCTTTGACTGATGAAGCCTTCTGGATCGAAGGCGAAACGTTTCAGCACAAAAAAAGAAACTGTCCAGATGACCTGACTGAAAAATGTTGGCTTGTATACCTGGATTATTGAGCATGGACTTTGTTGTTGAATGAAGATGGTTTGTGGATGGGTCATCCAACATGACAATGACTCAAGGCAGCAAAGGAGCAGCTAAAGAAGAAGAAATATTGAGATCATGAAGTGGCTTATACTTTCATGACCTCAGTTCTGAAGATATGACTCGCTCGACAGCAGCTGAAGAACCTAAAGGGTTTAGTTTCTACAAAGAGAAGTGGGCCAAAATCCCTCCTGAGATGTTTGCAAACCTGGAGACCAACTCAAAGGAACGTCTTACTGCGGAGCTGTCAGCAAAGTCATGTTCAGTTTGGGGATTTAACATTAGTTTCACTCAGTGGCATACATTTTAACTTTTGTGCTGAACGTGTTTATTCTGATTATCTGTGGGAGATAAGAGAAAAAATAAATGGAGCAACTGTTTATTTTATCTCCTCTCTTCACACAGTGGTAAGAAAAAAAACTGGACTCAAACTCCACCCTGAGTTATATACGTGCTTCTTCACACACACACACACACACACACACACACACACACACACACACAC